GACTTGTCCCTATAGTCCTTGAAAAGCAGAAGATTGGATTTTAAGACCTAATTTTTTTTTTTTAAGACCTAACATTTTAAGGTAAACAGTTCAGTGGCATTTAATATATTTACAGTGTTGTGTACCCACCACCTCTGCCTAGTTCCAGAACATTTTTATCAGTCCCAAATAAAACTCCAATATCCGTTAAGAAGTTACTCCTGTTCCTCACATCCCCCCCAGCCCCTGGCAAGCCACTGATCTGCTTTCTGATACCTAGAAAATTTCAGAATGATTAGATTGCTTTGAGTGCAGGTTGGAGAGCAGTCCTCTCAGTACAGCTCGCTGCCTCAAACCCTTGCATTCCCTTTGCCTTATTCTTCTTTCTTAAAACCACAGGCTAAAAAGAACTTTGAGGGAAACCCTTTGGCATCCCTCTTCACTCATTTAAGTTTGTACCTAAACCTTTCCTGCCAAGAGAATCTATTGGGGATCTTTGTTTTGGATGGACTGTCTGGGGCAGCCATGAGAGCTCTGTTGGAACAGTCAAACCTCCATGTCGGGAACTCTTCTTGGTGCATCACCCGTGTCCCTCCTGCCGCACACATAGCAGTGACCTCCTGGCCTCTTCTCCACAGGACTATTGTGCAGTCTCTTTCCCTTAGGCCTGTCACCCTCTCTCATTTGCTTGCAGATTATGCAAATATCTTGACTACTATAGAGAAGCCTTGGAAACAGATATTTTGCTGGGTTGACATTACATTATAGGATACACAAACATATCTTCATATCGAAATTAGATATTGAGATTCTTATCAGAAATTTATGAAAAAAGCAGTTGGTTTTCTCTCTTTTATGATCTAGGGTATTTCCTTTCATTAGCGAAAGGTGTAACAAAAGATGGTTACTAGTATAGTCTTGATAAACCTCAGTCAGACTCAGGATAGAGAGCAGAATATTCTTTTTTTTTTTTTCCTTTTTGTCTTTTTTACTGACTGGTAACGGGATCGCAACCCTTGGTGTCACACCCGTACCGGGGACCGGCAACGGGATCGCAACCCTCAGTGTTGCGCCCACACCGCTCTCAGCCAGTGAGTGGGAACTGGTCTCCACATGGGATCCGAACCCTCAGCGGGAGCGCCGC